CCAGTATATAGTTAAATTAGTTCTTCGCTATCATTAACTTCCTTGTATTTAAACTGTGGCATCCGAATGACGCAGGTGGTCCAGGCATTGTGTTTTGATGCACAACACTACTGGTCATGCACAGCATTGAGTGCATAAGTTGTTCTGACTACTGGCATCTGTCCAACACTGTTTCACAGTCAGGGTCAAGTCACCATAATCTTCTAGCTAGGCCGAAGCTTGGGGTGATAAAAGCTTCCGTAAGGAGGAAAAGAAAGTCTTTGACCAAACCTGGTCGGACAGACGATCAGCAGACGTGCTGTCTCATCGCAGCAAAAAAGGACGCTGCCTTTGAGTGTACGTCCGCAGTGAGTGGGTACACAGTCAGTATGATAGGGACGTGCCGTGCCAATATTACGCCTTCATGATGCGTTATCCACGCACGCGGTTTTGGCGTATCTGCCCACAGTGCCATGCGAGGTGGCTCTTCTCAACGGGCTTGCTTGGGGACTTCATAGAAGACACCACAGTGGCTGTTCAGATGCGGGCGCACGCACAGATCACCGCCCCAAGTCCAAACAACAAGAGTATCTGCATCTTTCCTCAAACAGTTACACCAATGAATGGACCAAAACGGCCAGATGACAACCAGGTATGAGACCAGCCACATCGGTTCAGGACCCTGGGGTTCCAGTAACGCCTACCTCCACTGTACACCGTAAAAAATGGATCGCAGTGGAGGAGAAGGTGCGCCCTCCTCATGCAAACCCGCCAACACTACATGAAAACGGGGAGGCTAATGACAGATCGAATCCCACTATCCTATTTAACGCCCCCGTTTGCCATGACAGTCTTCTTGAGAACAGATTCTCCCGACAAACAGCGATGGCAAACGGTATGCTCAATGCCTGGGCTGTGCAACTTGAAAGCGAAGCTGTGCCGGCTCTACAAAGGCAAATTTCTACCCTAAAGGGGGCTGCGCCGATGAGTCGGAAGGACTCCTGTCGCTGTCACACACATTAGTCATCAACCGGTAATCCAGCATCAGTGCTAGACCAGACCGGCCATGTTCAGCCAGAAAAATATCCCATGAAGCGCCCCACACGACGTGGTGTGCCGGAATCGACAACCGAGACCTAAGTAGAAAAGTATGCTCATGAAGTTCAGCAGTGGCAGTAGTTATCAGTGAGGAGAGGGTTAAATGGGATAGCGGCGGCAGGCTGCAGACTGCCACATCCCTGACGTTTGACTGCGACAACATCCCCCAGGCTGATGACTTTTGGCTTCGGGTGTCAAGGGCTTCTAACCAAAGGTATCGGCGGGAACATTCACGGCTATGAAAGCAGGCCCAGGACAATGGGCAACAGCAAATGACAGGCCCTCCCAGTGCCGAAGTCACCGTTACTGTAGATTGGCATCGACCCCATAAAATCCCCAGGAGCCGCTAAGGGAAAAAACACAATTGGGCCGGCTCCCCTAGAGCAGGCCGTCCCGTAGCAAGTCTCACCGTTGCGCTCGACCCCTCACGGTCTCCCCTCACAAAGACACCCCACGCTGTTAGAAGCACCTCCAAGTGTCTTTGCAGGAATGCTAGGAGACTTTGGAGCGGGATGAGGGAACCACGATCTCTCCGTTCTTACCCTGTCCCGGAGGTCATAATTCCAGCAGAAACTTGGTTACCGCCGGATATCAGTGATATCAAGGCTGGCATAGACGGCGTGCGCCTGTCCAGATGAAATAGGGAGATCAATGAAGGAGGAGGAGTGGTAATGTTTACAAGTGACCATCTCGAAAGTGAATGGCCAGTGAAGCCCCAATTTTAGGACTCTCGGACCCCGTCTGGTGTGATTTTACGGTTGGACACGCCAAGTACCTGGTAGGGGACCTACAGAACCCCTTATAGTAATGCCCGGAACGACGTCTGTGGAATATGTCCAAGTCATTATAGCTGGAGACTTTCATGCTCCAGCTGTCAATCTTAAGCGGCACAGTGGAGTCTCGAGCGGTGGTTCCACTAAAACCTACTCAACGCTACCATAAAGGCTGGACTGCACGGGAATATTGGCAATGACACTCGCAGTGGCTCTAGCGGAAAACGGTCCAGACTGGGCTACCTGCTTACTAGCGACCACCTACTGGCAGGAAACCTTCAAGTTCAAACCCTCCTGGGGAGCAGCGATCACTGTGTGGTAGTGTTTGATCTGATATTCAATGAACAAATGTCATTGGAGGGATCTCGCCTCTGTCTTTGTTATGGAGGGACAGGCTACGTGGCAGTCAACCAATATCCGTCGACTGCACCATGGAGTTAGGTGTGGAGTAACCTATCTATTGACCAACACTAGGAACTAGTCAGAGATATCATCGAGAGGGCTATCTCCGAAAACGTCCCAGTGATCACAGCAATACCGCGGAAGCGAACCTCATGGTTGAAGCGAGGCACTGAACGCCTTTTGAAAGCCAAGAGGAAAGCATGGCACAAGTGGAGGACCTCCAGAAAAGAGTCTGACCACGCTGTGCATATTGCCCTGAGAAATCGATGTAACATCAGGATGAGGGGAGACAGGCGGCCATTCCAGTCGAACCTTTCCCAAAAGCTCGAGGCAAATCCCAAAAACCTATATCGGTTAATGGCAGGCAGAAAATCCACCAGCCAAGGGGTTTGCGTCCCGGAAGGCCTAGACGGAGAGAGCCTCTCCGGCCTAGAGATCGCCGAAGCCTTTTTCGCCACCTTCTATACGCAACTCAATACTTCCCTATCGAACCAAAATTACCAACTGTCCGACCGAAATTCAGCACCACCAAACGCAGTAGAGTTGCCTGGAATATAGGTAACTCCTGCTAGGGTCGTCGAAAAACTGTCAAAGCTCTGCGCAAGAAAATCATCAAGGCGTAATGACATCCGACCGGCTGTGCTTAAAAGATGCGCGGGTGCCTTGTGCGGTCCGTTGTGTAACTTGTTTCAACACTCCTTAGACGATCACATGCTTCCACAGGGGTGGGCAAGTGCTGTTCTGTCCCCATCTTCAAAGGTGGAGGCTGGCAGAACCCAAAATGCTGCCGACCCATAGCCCCTCTACCAGTGGTGTCAAAAGTAATGGAGAGTCTGGTAGATGACTATGTCAGGGAGTACTTAGAAAAGAGGGGAGCACTAAGTGATGCTCAGCATGGCTTCAGAAAGGGTAGGTCCTGTGCCACAAACATTCTGGTGGCAGGTGATAAGTGGACGACATGCTGGGACCTCCAAGTTCCTGTCCGTGCCATTTTCCTAGATCTTATTAAGGCCTTCGACACAGTTCCACACACCGTTCTTATTCACAAAATAGAAAGGTTGGGCATCACAGTTGCGGGACTATCTAGACGGTAGACGGTTCCGCACAAAAGCCAACAGAGTTTGCTCGACTCGGAGGACATCATCATCTGACGCATCACAAGGGGAGATTCTGGGTCCGCTTCTATTCCTTCTCCTTGTGAACGACCTCCCAATGAATCTCAGCTCCCCAATCCTACTCTACCCTGATGTTATGCTATGGAGAGCCGTGACGTCGGAAACAGAATCAAGTGCACTGCAAAGTGATCTCAGATTACTTGCAGAGTGGGTGGATATTAACAGACTTACATTTAACCTACATAAATGCCGAGCCGTGTTTCTCCACACCCCAGACTCTCAGAGGTATCCTATTCTCCCTGTGGAACACAACTCTCCCACACCACCACAGGGAAAGACCTAGGACTAATAATAACTGACAAACTAGACACTAGCCCCAATTTTTCCAGGAGATGCCTCCAGAGCCCACGCAGTACTGCACTTCATGCGCAGGCAGTTGGGTGCCCTGACCCCGGAACTCTTTTCGAAGCTGCATGAGACCTATATATGACCCCAACTAGAGGTACACAACGTCACCACCACATCTGAAAAGAGACGCGAACCTCCTGGAGAAAGTCCAAAGGCGAGCTACGAAGGGTGTCGTGGGAATGAGGCAAAAACCATATCAGGATGGGCTGAAAGATCTAGAGCTCTACTCCCTTAGCCACCGTAGATTACGTGGTGACTTGATAACGGCCTACAAAATACTAAGTAACCCAAGTCATCAGAACAGTGGAATCCTACCGAACGGCCGCTATGGCGATCCTCGTGGCAACTTAAGGAGAATCGCCCACCAGACAGCGAAAACCCGCGTGTGATCACACTTCTCTCTGCCAGTTTGCGGCCACTGGGACGCATTGCCTGCCGAGATTGCTACTGCTCCGTCTGTTGACAGCTTAGAGAAGAGGTTGGACAGTTACGCAGTGACGCACTGTTTGCGCTCACCCAACTGGGATGTGGACTAGGTTAACACCACTTACTAACTCAGTACAACCAACCGTTACTGAACACTTTGTAAAACCACTATCACTGAGAACTTGGCTCAACTTTATACCTTCTTGTAGACGTCCCCTCAAGTTACCGTTTCCCACTATAAGAATTACTATATTCGCATTCGTCCGATCATGTTATTTATTATTCTTCCTTCTGACTTTACGCTCTCAAACTTTAACAAAAGCTCTCCGTATCACATATTACCCATGAACCTACCAAAGTTTTATTCTTCCGTGCCGTTTCCTTTTTCCTAATCTTTTTCAACATATTCTTCTTCCTTTTTTCCTTTTCTTTTTCTACTGTCTCTCTGCATTTTCTCTCCCTTGATTTCTCCGCACATATTTTTCATCTCCTTTTCACAACCAGTCCGACCAATTGTTTACTGGCATGACATTTGAGGAACCCATCTGCACCACAGTCCTCGGAAGAAAAAGCAAACAAACAAACACTCCCTACAAATCTAAACAACACCCAACAGCCCGTTGGGCTAACCAGAGCAACATCAGCCGAGTGGGTAGACCTACTGCATTGGAATCCACCAAAGACCTGGAACCGTTCCACAAGACCTAGAAGCGAGCGCGAAAATATCAATTGATTTACACTAGCTCGTTAAAAAGCATTGGATATTGGATCCTTAGTTTTTGTATAAAAGTTGTTTGTACGTGAATGTGTGCCAATCTGAATAACAGGTGAGTGCTTATGTCTTAATTATGCTTAGGATGTAATAGTTTCGGTTTCAAAAAGGCCCTACTGTTAACTTTCTGCATCCTCGATTGTTCCCAGTCACACCATAATGCGTAAGTAATGCGGGCGAACGCCTAAATAATAGGATCACTAGCACAATATACCGATCGATAGATAAGGGGTAGGAAATTTTTACACAAAATTTCCCTGCCCCGCGAAAATAAGGTGGCGAGTGCGTAAATAATGCGGGTAGTGCTGAAATAAGACGGTTCTTGCTGAAATAATGGGGTGAGGGCTGAAATAAGGCGGGCAGTGCTGAAATAGTGCGGATAAATTATTTGATATGTTCCTCTATGACAATTATGCATCCTTAAGCAATTTAATGCTAGTAATAACGATGTATCATGTAATAAATCGACAACGGTTAGTAAAAGAAGGTGTCCTCTGGTAGAATGCCTTTACCAGTAAACTGTCACCGTTCTACGTTTTGTCGACGTCGTAAAAGGTGGATTGATTCCACTTTTGCGAACTTTGGTGTACCTGACTTGAGCCCTTTGCCGTTTAGATGGTAGGATGTCATACTCTAACGGGGAGTTCCGACTAAGAACTGATGCCTCCTTTCGTGCTCGAGCCGACGACGGGCATCATCGTGGTAGAAGTTCTTTTGAGGATTTACCACTGGATATGATTACGTCCTTCCCTTTAGAACCCAGTGAATTAATTTGTACAGCCGACAATTGTGATCAGTACTGAAGAGCATACGAAGCCGATAGGTTTAGGGTTTATTTTGCAATTATATTTGAAAACGTTATATAAAAACTTTTATATATGTTCGTGTAAGAATGTATGTGCGTTCTGTGGTCGCAGAATCGCCTCACATTTTCCTGCTGTTTATTAATTAAGAGAATTTTCTCTTCAGGGTTTGACCATTCGTTGAGTCAAGCATCGTAAGACGTGAGCTCTTCATACAGCCTAATCACAACCTGCAATAAGTGCAAATATCGCAAGTGAAGCATGTCCAAAGTTAAGGTAAGTATGATGTGATGCTTCGTAGAATATGACATGAATATTGTTTGTGCTGAATTTTTATCACAGTGGATACTGAGGTGTCGTTTACCTCATCAGAGAGGTAATTTTTCTATTTAAAACTCCATGCTTTTCTCAAAACACCCAGATAGACTTACGATTTCCAGTAGCTATGTTCTGTTTCATCTTTCCTTTACTAGTTTGCGAATACAAAGAAGTAGGTCTGTGGGAATATTTTAGTGGGTGATCTGGCATGCTTTCTTGAAGTCAAGCACATCATTTTCCATGCCTAGAATGGTTTCTGTCCTCATCTTTTCACTATATTTCTTCTCAGTAGCCACTGCCTTGCCTTTTCATTTTAAATTACTTCTTTGATTATTTTTTATTGTCAGATTTAACCTGTAGAGCAAAATTGATGTGACGACTGTAGATTCGTTGCTGTTTTATGGACGTAGGAAGTGCCTAGTTGGGGAGTCACATCACAATCATATGGAAATACAGTTAGCTTTACGAATTTATGGCTGACTGAAGACACTAAGGAGAAACTTCCTTATAAATTCGACTGGCTTGTGTTGATTCACGTATCTATTGCGCATTGACTCCGATGGAGGACTAATTTTAGTACTTGTCCGCGTAAGGTTGTCACGTAAATGTACATTTAGGTACGTGAATGTGGCTAGGTGGATGATGTTATGTAGACGAAGCTTGCTGGATGAAATGGAAAATGAAACTCTGATTTATCCACTCTCTAAGGGGCCCGTCTGTTCGACGTCATTTTCAGAATTTAACTAGGTTTCATGTGTGATTATGAAGTTCCTTCTTAGCCATTTCCACTGTTCCTATTACCAATAAATGTTTTAGCTTCCTTTAATTACTGAATACTTATCAAAATCAGCCCAAAGGTAGGTACTTCAAGCGTTGTATTGTGCCCCATCTCCCTTATTCTCTACGGTAATTAGCATAATTTGCATGGAAACTGTTCAGCTTAGTATGTCGATAATTTTAGCCGCGTGTATCTGCTATGAGTCACCGTTATTCATCTGTGACATCTCGTGTGTCCGTGATGAAAGCAAAGAGTTTACTGGCAGTGTATCATGGTCATAAGGTTCAAAGATAATGCCTTTAGTGTTAACGTTCTACTGTATGGTTGTGAAACATGGCCATTGAGAGTGGAGGATACAAAAAGGCTTCAGGTGTTTGACCACCGTTGCCTTCGTAGTATAGGACGTATTCCGTGGTGTCACCACGTGAGTAATGCAGAAGTTAGGTGTAGAGTTTTGGGGAGAAGAGGTAAGTCAGTCGACGAGGTTGTGAACCTTCATCGACTGAGATGGTTGGGACACGTACTACGTATGCCTAGTCACCGATTGCCTCGTCACACAATGTTGGCTGAGGTGGGTTCAGGCTGGAAAAAGGCCCGAGGTGGCCAGACTAAAACATGGCACCAATGTATGAAGTCTCTGACTGTTGGTTTAAGCCATGTAGGACGATGCAGACTAGGTGGTTGGGGTCCACGGGACAAGAGGAACCAGTGGTTGGAGACCCTAGGTGATATGGCTCAGAACCGAAGTCAGTGGCGCAGATGTATACACACATTATCCTCATCTTAACGAGGGTATACCGAATCTCACTATTTTGTCACTCCTCTTTCCTTTCTTCTCGTACTTTATATTTCTTTTGACTGCATTCACTTATCTTCATCCTTCACCTCACTACCTTTTTACTTGATGTGCTGATATGAGGTGTGGCAACTCGGACCGTTACGCAGTAATGCCTGGTCCTATGTTGATAATGATGATGATGACTTTAGTGTTAACAAGGTTAAAAAGTAGAGCTCAGCATAGTGTATGCAAATTTAAACCACTGTGTCATGATTTTATGGGTTGTAGCCGAAATAATGTGAATGCAGAATACATTGGGACATGCAGTAGTATTACTGAAGGATAAATTCCCTAATGGGTTAGTGGTTTTCTGCTTGTTGTTGTCCTTGTAATTTATAAATACAAAAACTTCTGTATTCAGATGACTCTGACTGCATTTATGTGGAGTTCCTACTTCGGTTTTGTTGCAACTCCTACAGGCTTCCAAGCAAGTCATAATCCTTTGGCATTATATCTCAGAAAGCTACATGAGAATTCTAATACTATTCATTTTTCAAAGTGATAAAGTTGAAGTCGTATGGCATGTTTTCATATTATTGGACCTTAAATTATACCGCTTATCTATGGCTAAATGTTGATATGTGGGTGAAGTAAAAGTTGTATCAGTCCAAGATAAACTTAAAGATCTGAGCTTTCAGTGATCTTCAAGAAGAAAACCAGTTAGTTGTCTCAAAGATGGCAAGAAGTTGTTTGAAAATCAATACTTTTTAGCTTGATAGTTTAAATAGTCACTATAGTAAAATGGTAGGTTATCATTTTAGAGTCGAGACTAGTAATGAATTCATAGGAACTGGCATCTGTATAAGGTGTCTGGTTTAACTAGAATAAGTGAGAAACATTTTTAGGCAGGAAGTGGTGTCATCACTCGCTGTTCAAAGCTCCTTACTACAGTTGAATTTCATGAAGTTCGGATAGTAACTTTTCTTTATCCAAGCCTGGAGTAAGCATATAAAAGTGATATGGATGCTTATGTTGGGATCTTTGCACATACCATCGAAACGAATGAATCCGAATAAGTGATACTCTTTATGCGTTCGTATCGTGTTTGCATTGTACATAAAAGTTTCTATAAGAAAGAAAAATGTTCCGATATTCCAACATGAGGGTTTTTCGGTATTTTAATGACTCATATCTTCCAGGTTTGACGTCCATTTTGGAAAGGGAATTCTCAGATTTAGAAGCTGAGGTGTAGGCAATAAAATGAAATGACCTTTGAACCTGTAGCTTTTACGACATTTTCTAATCTAAAATTTGATGACTGGATATTAAGAAATGTTACTAAGGTCAGTAATTTCATCATCAAGATCAACATAGGACCAGGCATTACCGCGTAACGATTCAAGTTGCCACACCTCATATCAGCACATCAAGTAACAAGGCAATAACATGGAAAATGGAGAGAAAAACCGGTCAATGGAAGTAGAAGTAGGAAGTAGTACAAGAGAAGGAAGAATCAGAAGATAATGAGATTAAGTGTAACGGTTAACGTGTATGCATCTGCGCCACTGACCTCGGTTGTGAGCTATATCACTTGAAGTATCCAACCACTGGTTTATCTTGTCCCGTGGACTCCAACTGGCTAGTGTGCGTAGCCCTAAGTAACTCAAATGAACAGTCAAGGACTTCATACATTGATTTCATGTTTTAGTCTGACCGCACAGAGCCTTTTTCCAGTTTGGGCCTACCACGAGGCAGACGATGGCTAGGCCTTCGTAACACATCTCAGTCGATGGAGGTTCACAACCTCTCCTGCCTAAAACTACGTTTGAATTTGCGTGATGACACCACAAAACAACCTGTGCTACAAAGGCAGTGGTGGTCAAACAGCAAAAGCCTTTTCATGGCTTCTACCTTAAGTGGATATGTTTCACCGCCATACAGTAGAACAGAGCGGATTGCAGTACAGTACACTCGACCCTTCCCAGACAATCGGATGTCGTGGTGACGCCGCAGAAGGCCTAAGTTCGCGAAAGCCAACCACATTCCACAATATATTTCATATTTGTGTGTGAATTTCATTTTCACAATAAATGAAACCGTAAAGTGCATTAATGTGAGTGAGGATAGTATTTCATGAATCATCAAATCAATTGGAAAATAATCAGAGACTAAATATCAAAAAGGCAAGATAGGATTCGAGTGAGTGAATAAATATGGTGTGATTTCATCTAAAAAAAAGTTGCGTAAAGATTGGGTGAAAAAATCTGTGAATATCAGTCAGAATAAAATGTGACATGATAGGAATCGAGAGAAAGGATAATTTTATGACAAAGTAAGAGGAACTGAAATAGAATAAACATGTGTCATGCAACTAGCTCTTCCTTATTTTCATATCTTCATGCTGATTCTGTGTCAGTCCGTTTTATTTCACCATAAGGTTTTCACTTCTCTTGATTCCTATCATATCACAGTTTGTCGGACTTATATTCACATTTTCTTTTTTCACCTAATCTTCACTCAACTACTTTTGGGTGAGATCACATCACATTCATTCACTTACTCGCCTGTCTTGAGTTTTTGACCTTCAGTCTCCTATAATACTTCATATTTCCAATAAATTTTTCGACACTGTGTATAAGGCTTAACAAATGTTCTGTGGAAAATAAACCTTCAGTCGACTTAAGCTGTTTTCGGTATGTGAAAATAGATGCTGTGACGAAATTTGAATAAAATTTCAAATTTCAAAACTTACTACCGGTTTGAGTAAAAATTTGTTTGTATTGTACCAGGTTGGCATAATTGGAGGTTCAGGGTTTAATGACCCAAATCTATTCAAGCAAGTCAAGGTGCGCACTGTAACCACTCCATTTGGAAATCCGTCGGATGTTCTTACTGAAGGATATGTTGGAGATGTCCCATGTGTTGTGCTTCCCAGGTAACCGCTACTCACTGCTGAAATTCCATTTCTTTGCTACAAAATCGTCACATTGCTTTCTAATATAATTTAATTAAAAAGTGAATAGAGATGATTTATTGCATAACATTTGACAGAAGTATAACACTTTTAATAATAAAGTTGCCACACTGCATAGCAGCATTTAAAAATGAAGTGAATAATGGTATTAAAGCGGGCAAAATTGTTTGGGAAAACATTCGCAATAGTGTTCGAAAACGTCCGATGTATGCGCCTACACCGCTGTAACCAGTTTCAAGTCACATCACGCATGTTTTTTTAAACCTAGACATGCTTTAACTAGGACCGTGTGTCAAGGTAGGTAGTGGGTTATGTATTATACATCCGAAACACCTTAGATTGTATAGCTTCTCATTCATATTGTGTAGACTCCTTTCCTTACTTAGTATTATACTCATACGCTCAACCTTTTTAACAAATTTGTTCCAACACATGCAAGCGACGCTAGCGCGAGACGTGTATGATCAAAGATCCCTATGTCGTTAGCTCATTTCGTTGAACTTGGTTCAAGGCAGCAGTTCCACCTGATTACAATTTGGGAAGCGACCAACAGTGACTTACTGATTTAGTCTCTCATATACTAACATTTATCTCGATATGTAGAATAGTACTAGTGTTTCTCTACATTTCTGACTTCAGTTTATTTATGCTTAAAGTATACGTGCTGTGAGCGAATGTAGACCCTCACCCTATGTTTAGGTTCGTTAAAATAAACATACATGTTTCAAAATTTGATATTATCTCTCACACCGTAGTCGTTACCTTCATCCTGCCTAGTAGCAGGACTAAATTTTTTCTCGTAGTGATTAGCATACAATGAACAGTCATATTTAGCATATTTATGACGGTCAGAAATTGGGGAGTCAACCATAAACGATAAAGCACTTTCTTACTAACTACTGGTGTTGAAACACGTTTCGCGCTGAGGTGCAATGTGCAATCTTGCCTTTGTTTCACTTCCTATATATGTCCTTCGCTTCGAGAGTTTAAGGTCGCATCTGAAAACAGCATCTTACAGTTTGGTGGAACCCAGTCGTACTTTGTAGGGATGTAATCGAAGAAGTTATCTGTATGTTTTCAGTGCAACATAATTGTGTTTCTGACTCTACATCACTGACTTAAAACTCGTAAGCATACTACCGTTACCATTATGTCACCTGGCTTTATTCATCTAAGTACTCTATAGCTCAGTATTTCACTAGAATATCCTCAGAGTAAACGTCCACATTGATAACTGTGGAAGCTACAACAGCTGTTTTATCGGAACTTTAAAACAGCATTGCTCTTTTTGAATGTACATATGTAGCCAATCACTAATTGTATCAGGTCTCAACATTCGACTTGTTACACACAAATTCAGTAGTTGTAATCATTCTCTGCCTCAGAAAGTTAATTTAGGGATTAATTTTAAGACAGAAATTCCATTTTATTACTTTTTACTAAGTCTGAGAATCAATTGTAATTACTCAGCAACTTAAGCATACTATAAAGGTGAATCCTATGTCCGAAGTAACTGCAACTTTCGAATAGGTCTTACCGTTGTTAGCACAGAATTTTCCACCCCTTTACGTTACTCTGATTGCGATGGGCGATGGGAAAGTTCTTCATTTCTGTTTATATATCACTCAAACTATTTTCTGTAACTAATTTCAGGTAGTTGTTGCACGCTGGCGAGAATTGAGTTCCTTTTTTGTTTATTATTAGATTGTATTGTCAAGTTTATTTTCTGTATTTATTTCTTTAGGCATGGAAGGCAACATTTAATCTTACCCAGTGAAGTTAACTATCGAGCCAACATCTGGGCGTTAAAAGAGGCCGGATGTACCCATATTTTAGCTACTAATGCATGTGGCAGTTTGCAGGAGAACATACATCCTGGAGATTTTGTTGTCCTAAATCAGTTTTACGATAGGACTGTGGGTCGAGAACTTACCTTTTACGGTAGTAGACCTGGTGCAATGAAAGGCGTGTTACACATGCCTATGGGGGACCCATTTTGTGAAGAAACGCGTCAGGTGAGCATTTGAATTTACTTCAAGTATACCACTTGGTCTGAAGACCAACTATATATACTTTCTTTGCCACTGAGGGGAGATATTGTAGAAAACGACGAAACTGAGATGCAGGAAGGAATGTTCATTATTGACATTTTGTACATTGGTCATCAAATATTGTACACTTCCCAGTAAAACAGTCGTTTGCACAATGTGCTTCATCTCCTCTTCTGCTTCTATCTCGATTTGCTCTTAATATGTCCACCTTGTCTTTTGCGTTTCCCTGGGCAGAATCTTCACCCATTGTTGGTAATTGCCTATGATTTCTGCCGCCCTCTCAACATATGCTACTTGTATCCATTCTGATTACCTGTGCCTGCCACGTTGTGAGTCATTGGCTTAGGCACTCTACCTTCAAGCAGTAGTTCCTGGGATGGAGATGTGGTTCATTGGATTAGGAACTAGACTTCTAAGCAGTAGGTTGTAGGGGACTGAACGTGATAGTGTTACATAACGCCCAACCAGCTCTACTAAATTTGATATGCTCTAGTACCAGCTTAATCAGTACCTTATCTAATACCGAAATAAATCAAATCAAATCTCGAAAGAATAATATGTCTAAATAGAATAAATGTGAGTGATTATTAGGGAAAAAGTTTATCCAACTTATCTGACTAATATAGCTGAGCTAGGGACTCTGTTGACACGCATACTAACTAGCTCAAAGAGAGTGCAAAATGGCGTCGAAGCCTAGTTGGCTGCATCCTCGTTGAAACAAATCTTAAATCACCTAAAGCATCCGGAGGCGAGCTAGGATCTTGTTTAGTTCTTATTTATTTAACTCAATTTAGTCTATTTATTTGGGACCTAGTTGCATTTTGATGCCAGAAAGGTGCACTACAAGGTCATAAATTCGATCCCTGTTCCACCTACTTTGACTTGGACACCTTGAAAGTAACATAGGGCCTCACATAACAAGTATGTCTCAGCCTAGTGCATTAAGATGTACCTGGTTGTTACATTATATTGCATTATATTCCAGGGATGGAAACGTCGCTTGAGAAATCATGTGTTAACATACACCCTTACACAATAAGTGTGGTTCACAGTCTAGTACCAAAATCTTCACTTAGTTGACTCGCATTACACTTATGTTATTATTTTTCCTTGTCACCAGAGAAAGGTGTTGAACGATTGGGCAAAAAATACCAGTTAGTTCTTTGACATCAAACTTAAGGGCAGAACAACCAAAGGGGTTAAGGTGCATACACCAGTATTTTGGTCATTAGTTTGTTCCATCTATAACTGACTAGGATCCAGCATCGATATCAAACCTTTTTTGCCCCGCACAACATAGCCAACATCGGATTTATTGAAGATGTGATCCTGCAGCATCTGAATGACTAAATACAATTGCCCAGGACTCGTAAGAAATCCTAATTTCAACCAACTCTTTGTTTTCTTTTCTTATTCCTCAAAATCTAAATGCATGGTGATTTCCCATATACTTTTTTGGAAACCATTTACTCACTTTATTACGTACTTATAATTAAGCAATTTCAGTTTACACAAATTTTTCGCAGGTACTTTAACCACAATTACATATTTTCATACACCTTGCGTAACTTACATTCTTCTATTATTTCCTTGCCTGTTACCGACGTAGAGTTGTAATTTCGCAAACATTGTTCGGTATTAAGTAAAAACACCAATTTAACCAGAAATCATAGTTTTTAAAATTATTGAATATTTTAAAATAGTGAAGAAAGAAATGTCTGCGCCGTTGAACACGCGTTTTTCGTGTTCGTAAAAAGTATCATTTTTGTCAGTATATGTTCATCATTTTTCCAAAGGCCTCACGGAGTGTTAGTAAATAGGAAGCACTTTCAGAACCTCTCACCTTTCACTAGAGCAGACAAGAGAATAAGTGGTGAGATGATAACTTCTAAATTGTGCCTAAAGTGTTGTGTGACTCTACTGCTAGTTACGCATTTTGAGTACACGCGGTTTGTGGCTCATGTTACTGTACACCAACATATAAATAACTGGGGACTTTAAAGTCTATGACCGTAGTAGGGCTTGAAATCTATATCTGTTCAACAGATGGATAATTACTTTATCTTCCTCTGTATCTCGTTAATGAATATCACTGTTTAAGCTGCCGACTGGACCTAAGTTATTTATCATTTCTGATATCATTATTCTCACCTTGCGTTCACCCATACCTTCTCATCACTGTATTTATATAAAGTAAGACGAGGTATATCTAATGTCAGACTTAGTGGTGGAAGAAAAGAAAATAACGATCAGAGTGATGATGTAAAAAATTCATCGATTTTAAGTTTTGTTCACTTGTCTTTGTGAGGCTCTTTAGATTGAAATTCGTTGAAAATTATGACTACTTTGAATCATGAATCAAAAACATGCTGCTTTTAACATCTAGTACACAATGTCCAATCTTTGAACAATATGTTTTTCCAGGAATTGTTTCAAATCTTAGCGTAAAGTTCAGCGTTAAATTATTTTGAAACCATCTCAGTGTTACCATTTGTTGATATACTTGTAACTTTCCGTTGTTTTACTCGGTCGGATTGATCGACCTCTGTTGACATATGGACTCCCATGCGGATGTCTGAGTATTTATTTACTTTGTTATGGCTAGCAGAGGAATCTGAGACACGTTTCATCCTATCTGGAACTCGTCGGCTGGATGTACCTGCACTCCAACGAGTGGTGTTGTTCCCACTTAGACCCAAGCCATATGCTGATAGAGGTAGAGGTCGATCAATTCGATCCAGTATAACAGTGGAGACTAACAAGTAATGATAAATGATACCCACTGTACAAAAGGTGACTATCGTGCCTCGGTGGCCCTATGGATAACGCCTTGGCGTTCGAAGTGATGGATACAAAGCTCGAGTCTCAGTGCGAACAGCATCACTCACTGTGGTACAGGTACATCCAGGTGGCGAGTCCTGGATTCATTTACTAGCCTCAACCAAGTAGATTAAAATGATCTTGGCGTGTTTAGAAAAGGAAAGCAAGATTTTTCTGATTGTCTTATTTGATAAGCTACTTAATCAGTAGATACTGTAATTCTCTTAAAGTATTCTCATAATAATTTTATCTGAAACTGAAATACAGTCAGAGTATTCACAGCGTCTATAGTCTCCATTAGCACAGACCTAAACTAAATTTTTATGTAAAACCTAGTGTTCGCCAGAAAGATCAGTTGTCACGACACCAAATCATTGAGATGTGTCTTTATTATCATGCTTTTGACCCATTGCCAGAACTGATCTTGGTTTTTCTGTTACACCATCAGAAATAATGTACTTTGATGTGGTCAGGGAACTCTAATCCTAACAACACAAGACAATAGGCCGACCTATTAATTTCATTTTGTGATTGGATGACGTACTACAACTTGGTATATCATCATTTGACGGCAAATTTTAGTCTTACTCTACAATTTATGTGATATATGGTCGATTTACTTTTGTGCTTGCCCCTTTAGGTTTTAATTAGTGCAGCCAAAAATCTATCCATGAATATTTGTGACCGAAAAAGTGGTGTTAAAACTGATTGCAGTCATCCATGTGTTCATACTGAAGGCTCTGCTGTAACTATCAATGGTCCACGTTTTTCCACTCGTTTCGAATCGTCATTGTATCGCAGTTGGGGTCTGGACATAGTCAACATGACTCTGGTGCCTGAGGTTTCTTTGGCGCGGGAAGCCGGTTTGAGCTATGGTTCTCTAGCAATCGTTACAGATTATGATTGCTGGAAGACGGATCAGCCTCATGTGAGTAACCTGCATGGTATTTCATTGCTGAGTGTTGGTCATTTTCATCAATTTCTTGCACATATTCCTAAATAAATAAGACAAGTATGGACTATTAGTGGTCTTAATCATCTTTTTGTATGTCAAATAAAAAAAAAGCTGCTTGCATTCTACCTCTATTTTAGAATGTGAGACAACATAGATGTTGCTTGCTTATCGTAAATAGAGGTTGTGCACTCAACGTTATGCAACTTTTGATATTTATTTAACTATTATAAATGAGAACTGTGTCTGTTACTTGTAATTGTTCTTCCAAATATTAAAATTGCTTTGTGATAAAGAATATCATTCTTGTGCTGGTAACTAAATGGTGTCCGGTGTATCTTTGTTTGGTCTAATGACGGTGGATTCTTTCGAAATGAATTTCTCTCCATCATTCTACGACAATAACTCATTTCTTTTTCGCAGTAGCTTTACATTCAACCATGATGTTAGTACCTGAGAAGTAAAAGCGTATGGGGTCAATACTGAGGTTAACATCACTTCGGTTTTACATAGCCTGACTTCTTCAGTATGCTTTTCACAGTGTCTTCTTAGGCCTGATTCCCATTAAGATTCAAGTTAAAATCCTGTCATTCTCTAGAAACAACTGGGGCAGTTGCAGATAATGCGGCGTATTAAAAGGTGATGCAATAATTCTAAAGAGATATTTACCTGAATTTTGAAGATTGTCTGGTAAGTGAGCAATTTTATTACTTTTTAGTTTTGGTATCAACCACTAAAATCTTTACAATGCTCAAAAAGGCTGTTTACTGTTGGGTGTCCATTTCGGTGTTCATTACAAATTAATTCTGTACACTGACTACTGAATAAAATTTGTCTGTTGTCCAGTGTTTGTACTTGTTGTGAATTCGGTACCTTCTCCCTAATAAATATTAACAGGAACAACGAAGTTCATCGCTCAGTAGAATTTCATCCAAATGCAAACTGGATGTCAGAAGACTTAGGTTTCTCCTTTCTACGGTTAACTTTTTGGTTCAAAGTTTTGGAGTTGATCCTAACGATGAATATATATGTGTAAGTAGGTGACGATTAAAATGATAAGAAAACCGATATTATAGCGAGATTTAAACCGGCGATCTTTGTCAGTTCAGCATATTTTTCAGGTGTGTAATCTGCCAGCATTTTAACCAATTGTGTGTGTCGAGTTGTCTCGAGCAAGTGTTCACTGTCTTTATTCTTACTAAATTTTCTAATAGACGTACTTATGGTTATCTCTCCTTCCTCACCCGACTTTACAGTCATTGACCTCATTATAGCAAATCCTTAAGCTAGAGTATGCGGATAGCATAGTCCTGTAAGGGGAAGATGGTCACAAGATGCAAAGTCTTCTAGATACAAAGTGACAATGTCAGAATGTTTTGAATGTTTCCCACCACCCAAATGCAAATTGTTGCTGAAGGACTGATCTACATTAGTGCCGCGTCTAACAATAGGTAGTAATGTAATTGGGTATGTTGACCACTTCACTCTCATGAGAAGTTGGTTCAGCTCTAGTTGGCCAGCGGTCAGCAAGTCTTTGCATCCATACAAACGAATCACTTGTCTTTTCCCAACATACGCCATCTATTGCACCTGTGTGGTATCCGAGTGCCTAATAAGGACCGAGTCCATTATCCAGCAGTACGCCCTGCTCTATTCCATGGATCTGAAACATGTACATTACAGTTAGAGGACATGAGAAGGCCTCAGGTTTCCAATAACTGTCGCTTTTATAGCATAGGGTGTGTTGTGATGCCACCACATTAATAACATAACAGTTAGACTTGTAGTTTTAGGGGAATGAGAAAAGGCAGTTCATGACGTTTGTGTTTCCATCGACTCAGGTGGCTAAGGCATGTTTCATGAGTGCCTTGTCACCATCTGTCCAGTTGTGCAATGTTAGCTGAGGTAGGTTTAGGATAGAAAGTGGTTAGAAGTGGACAAAATAAAACCTAAAATCGGTTCATGAGGTCACTGAGTGATGATCTGAACCATGTAGGGAAACCCAGGCATCCCGATAGGAATCTGCATGACCGGGGAAGTCGGTGGTTGGAGACTGCAGATGTCATGGTTCAAATTCGATCTCAGTGGCGTCGCTACATTCACACACCATCATCTGAATGATAACACCAAATTTAATCACTGTTTTGTTGCTTGCTGTTCTCTTTTTACAACGTTTTACCGGTTCGACTTCTTCGTCTCACTTTTGTGCTTTTCATCACGGTGCCTTTTTACCTTGATATGCTGAAATGAGATATGGTAACTGAGACTGTTGCGTATAAGTGCAATATTCTGCACTGATGCTTACTGGTTGAAAGCTTATAACTGTTATGAGAAGCAGAACCAACTAATTATTTTGAAAATAAAACTATAGTTTTTCAGTCTTACCGACATCCATCTTTTGTCGAATTCTTTTGTACCGTAGTTGTATTTTGTCATATTTTCAACTGTGTTGTAGACATGATTCCATCTTGGTCTTTGTTTGCATTATCGCTTTGAATAAACACCAGGTTTGACTTTTGACTAGTACTTTAATTAAGCTGACAACGATCTTTCGATAGCTTTTATCCTTGTCCATTTATTCGCCTTCCAATCAACTGTTGGATCGTAAACAGTGTCAAGCAAAGCGTAATCACTAATAAGGACCAGGAATCGATTGTCAATATACTAAGCGCTAAATAAGAGATTTCATGAATTATGCTTAGTAAAGTAATCCAAAGATTTTAATTATGTCAACTGCACTGAATTATTTTGTGTTATTTTCATTAGGTCTCAGTTGAGATTGTATTGGAGGAGTTTGGTAAAAGTGTGGATAAAGTCAAGAAGATTTTACTCGAAGCTGTTAAGCTGATTGGGGCTCGTGATTGGACGAAAACCGTTGAAGCTAATCAAGTAATGCCTTTATTTTATTGATAATACTCATGTTCTATTCTCCTATAATATTTCTAACCTACCGTCCGTTTTCGTAATCGTCGTGTTATTTTAACTTTAAATGTAAGGGTGTCTTAGTTTAAGAACTCGACTTTCATGTATTAGACCTTGGATTCTAGCCCCACTCCATTCACTCTGATCTGGCCAACCTGGTAGTATAAATAGCCCTCACAAGATGTGAGGCTCAAAACCTAGTTCATAGGATATATACCAGGTTTGGTTACTTTATGTTTTTTTTTTCATACTAAAAGCACTACTTTCACAAGAACTTCTACTCCTCTCGTTGTTCAATTTGATTAAGAAAACTAAATATGTCACCTTTTATTTGTACAGGTACTTTTTTAAGTGGAATGATAAAAATTTCCTAATCTCACTTGTCAGATGGAACCCGAGATTTTCTCAAGGTAGATACTTCCCACATAGAAGGCATCACTAGCGTTATTACAAGACACATCTCAACATGGATAAACACATAGATCTGAGTAGCAATTCACTATAAAAGGTTGTTTGGTATCAGTAATATCCGTTGAAATGTTAGGTTTCAGGTTTAGTTAAATGTTGACTTCTCATATCTCTGACGAAAGCGACTAAGTCAAAATAAAATATTAAGACTGTCGTCTGATCACTCCCAATATTCATAATTATGCAACTCCATATATGGGATTGTACACTTTTTATACAGTGATATAAGTTAGGTGCTGATTAGTGGTTAGGTATGGTGTCTTTGAACTCACATTTCGTTTGACAAGAATTTGTCATTTTGGGAAAATGAATGAATAAGGATCTGTACACGTATATGGTTATATCTTTGCAACTATTGTGTGATTCGTTATCACATTTCTTTCATTCAAAGAAACTATGGACACGCATTTGCGAATCTGAAAACAAAAATATACAAATCAATGACAATGTGCAAGTTTTGATATTAGATCGTGAACTAGTCTAGCTCTTTGTAGATTAGTAATAGTCTCTGACTACCAGAACTGTAGACACTGAAACTAAATTAAAAATGTTAGCCCTTCGTCACAAGTCGAATGTTTCTACTAGTTAGCAAAAAATTGGTAGTATGAGAATTACTTGTGTACTTAAGTTTTGCGTCTATGTAACACACTTGTACCAAATGTTAGGCGGGTCAATATTGTTTCATATGAACTATTTAAGCATGTAGTATATTCGGTGTGCGGTCGTTTGTAGGGTATAGTTATACTAAAATATTGTCTTTTTTAGCAGCATCAATGATAAACATTCAAATTAGTAAACTGACTTTTTTATAGTTCTAGTTCATTTCGTATTTCTGTAATACACAACTGGAAATCCGTTGGTGAGACACTTCTGTAAAAATAATACCTTGTCTATCACATCCATCTGTAAATTGTGTCTACTTTTGTGTGAAATAGTTCACCTACCTTTCTTTCTCACATGCATTTGCATTGTGATGCAGATTCGAAGTGGTATATGTTTCAGTTTGTGTGAAATATTAATTCTACCGTTATGTCATTGATTTACCACGGTTACAAGACGTCTTGTTTGGACTCTGTTTTTCTATCGAAAAGATGAAGCAACCAAAAAACATAAGGTCTCTTTAAACACTGGAGTTTATAGTCATTTTTTCTTTCTCAGCGATTTTGTAGAGAAATTAATGAAAACATCTGTTTCTTTTTAGACACCCAGTACTTGGATTGTTTTGAATGAAAACACCAGTCAATTTCATGGTTCAAAATCTTATATGTTTGTAATATTTCAATCCCATGAAATGATTTCTCACTGTTAATTTTCTTCCAGTATAATCGTTTTCACCACTTTCACTTTGCTTTTGTAATGACATAGAGACAGTGGTGAAACAAAACACTTTCAGATTTTTATCAGGTACAAAGGTTTTCGGTGCATCAAATTAGAACTTGGCGTTAATTAGCTATACAACATTTCTCATTACTACTACCCTCTACAGATTCAGTGTACAATAAAACATCAAAAACTAGATCAATTATTCATCAGTAACTAAACTGATAAAAAACATTCATATTATCTGCTTGTATATTGAAAAATTCAATTGACCGTTTCAAAATAAGGTTTCGCATCATACAGTTAAGAAATGAGTTTGATGAATTAGCTTTTATTATTTATCGTTATATTTGATTGGTTCTTTCTTTGTCACTCTAGAGCAGGGGCTCCATAAGTAATCAGGGATCCATCTCACACTTGATTCTACACACGTTTTGAATGTCATGTTTAAACAATAATCTTCAGAGAGTGATATACTTGTTTGTGAAAGTGTATTCTACTGCCTAGCATTGAAGTGACTCATATTGTTATTCGGAGACCCCCAGATTCTTCGTACTGATCTGCCATAAAAATAATTTTCAGCAGATTCAGATTCATTTTCCGTTTAAATCAGATAAACGTTGATAAAGTGTTGAAATTTTTTCTGTTTCATTTTGCAGTTGCTGGTGCAGAGTTCTCGTCAAGATTTAGCTCATGAGGCTAACAAAAAGAAATAAATGAGATCATTAAGAGTTGTCTTCTGAATCATTGGTGATATCGTTAACTACAGTCTCAATCACCGTGACCACGACAATCTCTCTGAATCAGGAATAAAATTTTAATGATTTTTCCAAAAGTAATTCATTTTAGTCAGGACAAATTAACTAATTCCACTTTTTTAATGAGAATACTTTTGTCATAAATTCTTATTTTCCTTTACTGAATTTCTTCGAATAGGAATAATATATTTTTTTAATAAAAGGCGCTTGAAAATTTGTGTTTTATCAAGAATTCGGATCGTGCTGGGTCATTTAGTCATTATTGTCTTGAACAAAACTAGTCAGCTTCCTATGTTCTATCTATTGGGTCAGTGGATGACATAGATTTTTCTAGGGAACGCTAACTACCGGATAAGTGAAAGACAGATAACTTCCTATTCAGCTTCTACATGCAAAACCATTGTTTCGAAAGATCAATTAACCTAACCAAAATGTAGAATATTCGTACATCTGTTCGAATATATACACATACATTTTGGATAAGAAAGATGAACAGCATGAAGACTTGTAGGAATCAGTAATTAGAGGCCATCATTCAAAGTTGCTGAAGCTAAAAGTGAAACAATTTTACCAGGAAAAAAGTAGGATTTACATTTTGGAAAAACGAAAATTGACTCGCGCAGTTAAGTGACAAGAAAACAGAGAATTCTTAGATTCTGTTTTCTACTGTCTTCATCGCTGGAATGATGAATAAACTTGTTTATGAGTCGAATCACACTGCTGAGTGCAGCCATTCCTCATGATGCTTTTTGATTTCCTAGAGCCTAATTAACTGGTATTACTAGAGATGGTCAGTGAAGACTGGTGATCTTAGTAGCGCTCAGTGAGAAAACAAACTGGTACGAGATTTAGATGACCAGTGTATAATTAGGTTTGCTTTTAAGGAAGTAGCCTCCTTCACCTATCTAGGCAGCACTGTTTCAACTACAGGTGGCACAGACAAGGATGTCAGAGCCAGCATCGGAAAAGCAAGACAAGCCTTCATTAACCTGAAACCAGTGCGGGGATCTTCTGAACTAAGCATGTAGAACAAGATCCGAATTTCCAACACCAACGTCGAGTCAGTGCTGATATATGGTTCAGAAACTTGGCGCGTTAAGAAAGGGATTTCCAACAAACTACAGACATTCACCAACAACTGCTTACGCTCACTCGATACTGAAGATCATATCAGATGGCTAGAAAGAATAAGCAACAAGGAACTCTGGCCTGCCAACGAACCAACCAAGAACCTATCGCTCAAGAAATATTCGGAAGGAAGTGGAGAATAATTGGGCATACACTGAGAAAGCCGACTGGGGACATCACGCGTCAGGCCAGGCCCTCTAGTGGAACCCCGATGGGAAGCGACGAGCTGGACGTCCGAGGGTGACATGGAGGAGGTCGTGCGAGGAAGAAATGAGAGCTTCTGGGCTGTCGTGGAGCCAGGCTCAAGAGTTTGCAGAGAACGGAGTAACCTCACAATCCCTGTGGAACATTCTTTCCTATGGCATTGTGTCATTCTGTTAGGTCTACCTATATAAGTTTTTCCACAACTGTAGGTCAATTTGTAGATATAATGTGAAGTGGAGTTAACGGAGTTTCTCTCTTTAATTTTTGACGTTGGAAGAGAAAATATCTATAAGGTTTAATAAAGAGAAGCGCGTTGAATAACCAATGGAATCTTTTAAGCTGAAAACCATATGATCCGGTCACCCTGAAATAGTAGTTTGATGAAGGTAGCTTTCTTTGCTACAGTAACTGTCTTCTCGGTGGATGGTTGATCTGTACTGTGGTAAACAACAAATTTTAGCGAATAAAGATCACTGGATGATGACTGAAGGTGAAATGGAAATCTGGACTGCTGCCGGATTCCAACTAGTGACCACCGGGTTTCTGGCCTGATGCTGTACTAACTGAGCTACGAGGTCTGTAACGATCAGTTTGTAAAAAAGTGTTTCATAATCCAGTGTATCACAGACACATATGACGAGATCTTAAGGATATACATTTAACCAAAGAACATTTATACTGAATAGGACCAGAGCTACTGAAATGAAGATATTGTCCATCCCATGTTTGTTTTAGAAATACCAATTTTCTGGTTCTTCTACCATATCATCTTCAGACTTCGTGTAAATGTTTGGATTAATACGGTTGAATAAAGCAATGAAGTGGTTAGTTGAATCATGATTGTCATCAAAATCACCATCTACATGGAGTTAATAGAAAATAAACTATAGGATATCTTCCGTTGGCTTTTCTATCAGCTAACAGAGGCTGGTGATTGCAACACCATCAGTTTGCCTGTATGCTATGTTCTGGAAGTTGAAGCTGATATCCTATGTACATAACAGAGTGAGTTCCTTGATGAGAACATCTGGTGGCTTTATTCGAATAGTATTTATCAAAATGATAATTATGAATATAATCTAGTGTTTCATGCAAGGGAGTATTTGTAAACAAAGATTACACATGGACAAGTCACACAGTCTTACATTATGAAGCGTATCTATAAGTTTAGATGGGTTTTTAATGAAGTAAGGTGGTGAAAGAAATCTCTGTAATCTACTTGGGAAGTTTATAGTATGGAGAGTTTAACATGTTTAGGATGGGTTCAGGGGTTTCCCAGACTTGTGTATTTATGTAGACCGTATAACTGGTGTTTGCATACGAGTCGGTGAGCTGTTTACAAACTTTTATTTATAAACCCGTGCATTGACAAAACTCGGAGCTGACGAGTAGTCAGTTTTTAAAAGAAGTTTGACATTGTTTGCACAGTTGTCGATTTTAAATTTAACTCACTCCTAAAATATCGAATTCATTTTTTTTCTTGGCTATCAAATTTATTCATGATAACAACGTAGTGAATGTACTGTTCATTTGTAGCATAAAATCTAAATGATTTGATGTTTGATCAGCGGATCTTCCAAAAACCATTCACATATTTCGTATCATTCGGAACGTCATGCAATCACACAGTATCTTCCATGTTAAGGATAACCACATAATCTTTTGATGTACTGTGATGATTGAAGATGATATGAAACTCTGGGTCATGTTGAAATCAGGCTAGTCCTAGTTGCCATTTACAACATAAAAACATTTTATTAGATGCTGTGAATTACAGCTTTTGAATTCCATAACTTTGTAGTTTAAGCTGTTTGAATTTAGTAAACCGCACTGGAGTATACAAATACCAGTCAACTAAATAAAAGTATGTCCTGAAAAATATTTTTTGTTTCCCTTTTTTAGACTTTCCATATTCTTTTAAGCAATATAATAAGAAGACAGATTATTTGAAGCATGTGACATGTTAGAGCTATGCATTTCAAACAATCACACATGAACTTGTTGATTAATTTGTATTAAAACTTAGAAAGGTTAATTAAGCCAATGGAATTACGATTAAGAAAGACGAAAGGAGGAGGACGAAAACAATAGAGAAAAAATAATAAAAGGCCAAACCACCATCACCAGTGGTATGAAGAGTTGAACCTAATATAATACTACCAGGGTAGGTTTAGTGTGAATACAAAGTGTTTTTGAATGCATAGAAGGGGTTTGCATTATTCCATAGCAAGTGCTTCGATAAATCTAAGTACTCGAACCTGATCATATGTATACAGTACAGCAAAGGGCGTTTTCATATCAATCTTATGACCAGTTTCTAACATGTGTTTTGCGATTATCTGCATGTCACGATTGCTCCTCCCTATGTATGTGTCCACACTTACATCTAAATGGATCGACACGATGGGATGTGACGCACTCGTTCAAATGCTGTTTAGATTTGTGTTGAAATATGGGCTCTGTCTTCTCCACTAAGATGACCTTGGCGCCGTGGTATGTCCTGCTAACAACTGATTTAAACCTTTCCTTCAAGATTAGGCTGCTTGATTGTGATTTTTTATTCCTTTTGAATCGGTCAAAGAAGGCTGATATAATGTGGAACGTTTCATTTGGATGTGAAAACTTACAAGGAATAATCAGCTAATAAGTCTCGACAATTAGATGTCTATAGAAAGGAACCATTACCGCGAATCTGTCAGTAGTATGGGTTTATAGGCCAGGTCTCTTTAGGGAAGGTGAGCTGCATTCAGTCTGAAAGATTCTAGAAACTTCAGTGAAACACTTCCCAAGTATGTGTGCCAACGGCCAGGTGGGTTAGGTCAAACAGACCGAGTTTCTTGTGTAAGTAGTTTGCATCAAAGCCTCAGAGTTGGGAGGGTTGGGATAACATTCATCGATTTGAGACAACACTAACAGGAACACCCCGGCAGAAGCGTTAATTGAATGCATTCTGCTAGACGCAAGGGCAGTCCAATGCTTACTACCACCCGGCAAAAATATTCAGCTGTTATGTTTTAAACTGTCGCTTTATCTTCACATTTTTTAAAAAACAAATTAGCATCATACTGTACATAATTCAATCTATACCTGAGTTATTTAGTTACTTGTTTCTCAACCCGTGATAAGGCTGATTACAGTGAATCCTTATAGTAAAGTACTAGGTTTGATTTTTATCTCTGACAAAAAGATGAAATTTTGATTATCAAGACATTGGTTCACATCAGCAGTGTACGTTTTAGACGATTACTTTCAATGAAATGAAGAGTTTCGTTTGCGTTACTGTTGCTGAGATAAAAGTAATATATAGGATTTTGTTTTAAATACTGATTGATTCGCGAATTTCAGCATATGTTAGCCAAGTCTTTCATCAACTGTTGACTCTGACTTATTTGTAGAATGGGCAAAATCATGCATACTGATACTCCTTAACCGAAATGGCTTTAAAAAGTGTTGCATGACGTGATATATAATTGCCAATCATTTTGATTAATATGGCTTTGAAGCTTGGACGTTATGTTATTCTACTTCAACACCTTTTCTCGCAGCCTTTACTGCGACCCTCCTGAAGAAACTGGGGCTATGAGGAATAAGCTCATCACCTTTTTGTATGACGCCTACACGCTACCTAAAAAGACGGAGATGCACATA